ATCCTCGTGGAAAGCGGTGGTGATGCCGCTGCTGGTACTGCTGTTGCTGCTGCTCGCTTTGTTGGTTTTGGTGTCAGGAGTGATCGCGGAAGAACTGGAAGTGTGAGAACTTCGTCGATCTTGGTGATCTTCTAGAACGTCGCTGCCACTGGCAGGCTGTGGTTTTGCTCTTCCCGATCGCGTTTTGCGAGGTGGATCGTCGCTCTTGGCGTTGATCGCTGCCTCCGGTTTCTTCACCGCCTCCATGGCTCTCTGCAAGCTCTCCGCCATGGGCGATGCGTTCTTGGAAGTCGGAAAAGGCGAGAGCTTTTTCTTCTTGAGCTTTGTGTTCCAGTGATTCTTTATGTCGTTGTCCGTTCTACCGGGGAGCTCAGCGGCAATCACCGACCACCTACAAAGGAGGAAGGAAGAAAAAGATTGATCAGTTCGAATTCTCGATCAATCAATCCCAATTCCTCCCAAATCAAACAAGAAGAAACGTTTCAGGCAAATGGAAGCATGAAATCCCGAGCAAGAAGAGATGGGAGTACCTGCTGCCAATGCTGGCATGGAGATCGCAAATGCGCTTCTCTTCCTCGGGAGTGAAACTCCCGCGCTTGATATCCGGCCGGAGGTAATTCACCCATCGCAGCCGGCAGCTCTTCCCACAGCGGTTCAAGCCTGCGATCCACGAAACCCGAGCTCGATTAGCACGCATTGCATCGGACTCCACCGAAATTTCGAGCTTTCTTGCGACCATCGCGCGGCCCGAGCGTGGAATCCCTCCCTTCCAAGAATCCAAGAACTCACCGGCTTTGCCAGGCAGAGTGATCCAGTTGCCGCCCGTGCCATGGCGCTGGATGTAATCTCGCAGCCGGACATCCTCGTCGGGAGACCACGGCCCCTTCTTCACAGCTGCTTTGTCGCAGCAAGGAGTCCGACCCATCGCTGGAGCGAGAGAGCTGCTGCGCCGCCACCGATTGCCGTGTGAGAAGTGATCGCTCGCTCGATCGATCGATCGATAACCGCACCTACATTCTTCCTCGCAGTGAGAAGATCCTCCGATGTGACCTGGGCTCTGTTTAGCCGTCTCATTAGCCGTCCGATCACGTCCCTATCCAACGGCGTACGTGGGTCACAAGGATCCTGCTTGTGTCGGTTTGCTAGCATCTGCGCCGTCAGCACAAAGAACGGAGGGCTTGGATTGCGCGAGCCGGCCGAAGGCCAAAAGCATTTATGCAAAAGGGGGGGCGTGTACTAAAATTTTACCACTTTCATTTGGTCACGTGAATAAGTCTGACCGCCTTTTGAAAGAATTGGTTCATTAAAAGTATGGGAGTTTTCCATACATGGTTTAGATGTTGAAGGAATGAACGTGGCATAAAGGGGTGACTATTATGCTTGAGAGTATCTGACCTCAAATCTAGAGAAAAGAAGCCTGATCAAAAGCTTAATAGCATCATTGTATTTGCAGAGATTTAAGTCATATTATAGTGTTTAGCTTTAGAGGATGAGGATGCTTGAAAGAACATTAATTAAAGTTGATTTGTCATTCTATATGAGGTAGGAATGTTAAATTTTATTTCTTAATATGATGTGTCGTATGTTTTATTATATTTTATTCTTTATCTAGATATCTATTGGAATCAAATTGTGATTACAAATTTCACCTAGAGTGAGTAAATTTGCAAGTGATTCATTATTCACATATATGTGTTAAAACACCTGAGTGTGACACCAAAATTAATGTTTAGACTGAACTTTTTTTTCTTAGGCATGAGCATACATGAGCATGTTACATATCAGCACCATAAATTCTGCTATGGTAGTTCGATGTGGAGTATGATATCTTGGAGAAGGAAGAACTTGCTCATTTTAACTATAGCACTACAAGCACAGTTTGCACTCAATCACATGAGATCACTACCTGTGTCAACAATCACGTTAAATTTCTTGGGTGGGATGCCCAGCGCAATCTCCATAATGTAGGTGCCACTGATCAAGGCCATTGGCAACTAATAATCAGATGTGATCTTTTAACTGGCACTCACTAGGGCCTTGGGCTCTAGCTTTGTTGCAGTGGGCAATGTTGCACAATTGCTTCAAATGGGCAGTATGGGATCACTCTAATGGAATGCTTCTTGCCATCCACAGATTCTTGTGCCAGAATTTCCACCAAGGCTCCTTCCGTAGAATGGTGAAATCTTGTGTTTTCCTTTCAATATTGTTATTGTACTCAAGAATTAGGTAAGACTACATCCTTGACTACTGAATTTGGCATTGTCACAGTTAGTGTGCAGCATTTGATTCTAGGAAAAAAGAAGATGGTATAGCTCAAGGACGAAATCTGCACATACGAGAGAGAGAGAGAGGGAGAGAGAGAGAGAGAGAGAGAGAGAGAGAGAGAGCCATGCCCACCAATATTATAATAACATTTTGCATAGCATTATAATATTATGTGAAACAAAAATGCAAATAAACAATAAATATGCTTGGATATTCTAGAATATTCTACCATTTAAAAGTTTTTTCATTTAAATTAATCTTGTATTTATAATCTACAAACTGTCCTAAACACTTTATAGTATATTCTAGTTTATTTTAATGGTTGATATATAATAAGATTAATCATGTACTCATAAAATATAAACATGAATATAATTAAAAACTTCCAAATAATCAATTGGATTAATAAATTATAAACACTACTATTAAAAAAACAAACATTGCTAAATGCAATGGGTAGCAAATTATTTATGATTTGAGTCATAACAATTACATTGACTATATTTTCAATATATAATAAAAAAAGGAACCTAATAATTTATCAAAATTAAGCTATATGATCATAAAAAATAATCATTATATATAACAGAATCTTCTAAACATTGATTACCTTTTCCACCAGTTTTTGTACTCCATATGATTGACATTTATAATAAAGAACTTATAAGTTAATTACAATCAATCTACATTATTGGTTGATTTAGAGATTAAAGAACTATAGGCTTGATGACATTATAGGCAATTTCCATTATCACTTCCTTGCAAAAAGGAGCTCTATCAATTGATAACAAAGATGAGCTATTTATCACAATGTCCATATCCATGTTTTGCAAGAACTTAACACACTTGACACACATGTGGTTCTTTAGGGCATTAAAGGATTTCTATCTCCTCTATAATTGTATTATTAGTGAAAAATATGCCACTCCTATATATATATGCAAAAGCATATGCAAAAGCTACATATTCCTGTGACGCAATATATCAAGAGCCACTTTGGTGCTAGTATAAATAGTTCAATCCAGAGTTATGAATGCATCTAGAGATGTTCTTGTCCTAACAATCCTAAAAACAGAAGAAGGTGGTCATGAAACATTATCAAGGCATGTATAGAGCTCAAACTTTGAAATAGTTTATCAGTTGTGAACAATTATTTATCACCACCTCTAGAACACTTATAACTTAAAAGTTGGTTCTAAGTTAAAACTTATATTGGCATCACTAAAGCCAAATAGTAAACTAAATGTATTACCCCCTAACCAGCCAATAGAGTTATCGGCATCACTAAAGTCAAATAGTAAACTAAAAATATTAACCCTTACAACCAATCAATAGAATCAGAGTAAATACCTTTATAATTCCCTTAACCAACCAATAGAGGTAATATTATTCAAACCCAAACTCTAGACTTATTAAGAATCACCCAACCTAGTATTATTTAAATCGAAAGACAATTAACCCCAAGTATCAAATCCTTTAACTAATTGGAAAAAAGTGCACTTTACTCATAAGCTCTTTCTTTCTATATTTAAATATTTATAAATTGTGTTTCAAGTAATTTTCTTTAATTACTTACAAGCACGAAAAGTGGGGAAAGTGATTTGAGATCTTTTTCTTTGGTTATTTATAAGTACAAGTAGGGAGAGTGATAAAAAGTGGGCACTAGGCCTTATAAATCTGTAGAGTATAAATATTCAATTTCTTATTCTTTAGGCATTTTAATATTAGAGTTTTCTATATAGCTAAAAACCAAATTTCAGAATTTTAAAGATTGAATAATTGATCACTAGATTAGTTAATTATTAATATAAATTTTTTTAAAATAAATAAACTGACTAAAAATGTTAATCTTCAAATGGAATTATAGAATATATATACATTTATATAATCTTAAATGATTTAATTCATATTGTGAGGGCCAAGTGTACGGCTACGATGCCGTATACTAATATTAGTGTAGTGGGATTTTGGTAGCCATCAGATTGGTTTCAATCTGGACCATTTGCTCCTATATATAAGCTAGGGTTTTTGGATTAATTAATATGCACATTTCCTGTATTCCCTTTCCATATTCTAAACACTCACATATTCCAAGCACTCACATTAGTGGAGATGAAGGGCACTTTTCATTGTGCCTAAGGAGTGCTTGGATTTGGGATTTTGGTTTAGATATAGCTTTTACATTATCTAGATCTAACTTTTTCCATTTCCTTTTATTTGTTCTTTCTATTCAGGATTTTAATTTAGATCTAGCTTTTTGCATGTCTAAATCTACCATTTCCTTCTAGCTTTTCTTCTTTTACTCTTTCTTTTTCATTCGTCTCCATGGCAGATCAACAATTTCCTCCTTTGACTCTGGAACAGCAATTGGTACAAATGCTTGATGTTATGCGCTTGCAATTAAACAACCAAACTCAGTTGATGGCAGCATTCACGGCACATGGTACAACTCCTCCTGCTTTTGGTGCTAATCCTCGCGTTTGGCCGGAGTTCTTTCATTGGAATCCAGGGGATGATATGTACCATTGGTTCGATCATTTCACAGTGATTGCCACATATCATTCTTGGGATGATGCTTGACATTTGTGTGAGTTTCCCACATGTCTCCAAGAGACAGCGTTGCAGTGGTACAACGGTTTGGGTGCAGCCACTCGCGGGGATTAGAGTGTTCTTCCTGATGTCTTCAAATGCGCCTTCGAACATGCCGATGATTGTGATGATGCTTTCCAACAATTGCATCGTCTTCACCAAGGGCCATCTGAGTCGGTGATGTAATTTAGTATTTATTTCCTAAGTCTTTTGCTTCGTGCAGAGCCAAATATGTCGAAGTGGATCAAGCTAGGAATGTTGTGGCCAGCACTTCGTCAAGATCTTGTCCGACTTGTGCATGCACTTGCTCCTGCCACCCTTGACGATGCTCTTCGCTTGGCACAACGTTATGAGACGTCGCCTCTTCCACTTCTCGCTGCACGTCCTTCAGCTCCTCTTTTTATAGGTGATGGTCTTGTTCCAATGGAGGTTGATGCTGTTGTTGCTTGAGTCCAAGGCCAAGGGCAAGGACGTGGTCGTGGCCATCATGTTCGCTGCTGGGCATGTGACGAAGTTGGTCATACTTATCAACATTGTCTGCGTTTTCCGGATTGGCAACCTCCATTTCCTGAGTGGAGACCTTGGCGTCAGCAATGTCCCGTTGGTGCTGCTGCAATGGAAGGTTTGGACACCGAGATGCATCCGGGAAACGAGGAGTCGCGCGAGTAACGGAGGGACCTTGCGCAAATAAGTCAGTGCAAATACTCCATCTTTCTTTCGGGAGTATCATCAAGGGGTTCACTTGGTGCTAGTTCATCCAGTGTTTAACTTGCAAGCTCGTTTTTATAACAAGAGGTCTCCTATTATTCTCTCCTATTGGTTGATACAGGTTCGAGTTTATCTTTTATTGCTTGACCTGTTGCCATACATATGTGTCAAAGTCACACGTGCGGCGGAACTAGTTTTCATTCTTTATGGCAACGGCTGTTCACATGCATGTGCACAGGATAAGGCAGACCTGGTTGTGCGTGTGGGCGATTTCGAGCTTGAGTTGTAGGCATTTCGGGTGGTGCCGAGTCAAGCTTTTGACCTCATTCTTAGTATGGATTGGTTGCAACGCAATCATGCCAAATGTGACTTTGAAGCTTCT